CCTCTGGGGGAGCCCTTCTGCCCCTTTCCCGGGCAGCAGAGGCTAGGAGGAACAAGAAATCCCCCTGCATTGCTTTCCTTCTAAACGCAGGCCCTCTGAGCCTCCCGGAGCTGCACTTTATGGGTGTTTTCTCTACTTCTGGGCCAGGGAGCAGGGCCGAGGAGCACCGCAGGGGCCCAGGCAAGAAGCCGAAGCCTCCCGTTTGGAGCAGGCAGAGTCAGACTCCATGGGCAGACTCTGTCTGGCATCTGACCAATGTGTATTTAGTGGGGAGCACAAATGAGAAGCAGGCTTCTGCAGCTTGGCTCCCGTTGCTTTCTCCCAATCTCCTCCACTGTCCCTTCTTCTCTGCTTTCCTTCTTCCTCATCTCCCCCTTCCTTCCGGGTCTTATGGCCTGGCTGTGGGTCTCTCAGACACATTCCGCCTAAAGGCAGTTCCCCCCGACCAAGGCAGCTCCCCCCGACCAAGCAGGTTCCCCCGACCAAGCAGGTTCCCGCGGACCAAGCAGGTCCCCCTGACCCAGCAGGTCCCCCTGACCCAGCAGGTCCCTCTGACCAAGGCAGGTCCCCTGACCAAGTGGGTCCCCCTGACTAAGGCAGGTCCCCCTGACCAAGGCAGGACTTACTGGGAATGGAGGGAGGAGGAGAAGGAGCAAAAGGAGGAGAGAGGAGGGGACCATTACTTCTAGTAAATAGAAATGAACCTTTCCCTGGCCCAAGGAGGTCAGCCCCCACTTCCCTTGCTTGCCCACCAAGGTTGTAAAATTCCTTTCTAACTTCTACCAATTCCCCTGTTACTTCCAGAAACATACAATTAGCTCTAAAAGTGTCTCCAAGCTGTGGCCAGTTAGAAATTTATGACCTTTTAAAACAGCTTTCCTTTAAAGTGGCTAATTAGGTATGTTTCTCCAATGGTAACTTAAAAAATGCCCTTTGGTCTGCACTCCAGGGGAAGGAGAACAAATCCCCTTATTATACTGGCACTGGGGAGATGTGGACGGTTGAGGCAGCCCACGAGCTCCAGCGGCCTCTGAGGAGAGGTCCAGACGCCACCCTTTATGGGTTTGGCGGCAAGGTGGGTTTCGGGGCCAACTGATTTCTGTGTTTCAGACGTGGCCTGGGAACCGTGCAGCCCAGCGGGTCTGGGTGGGAGGCTAGGGTCATGAGGGGCAGCGAGGGGCCCACCCACCAGGGTGCAGTCGTGCCCAGACACCCAGGTGACAGGGGACAAGCCTTCTCAGGGGCTGCCCAAGGGGATGGGCGGCTGGGGCGGTGCCTGGACACAGGGTCTGACTACTGCCCAGCCACACGCTTGCCAGATATGCCATCCAGGGAGGCCATTTATTCCATAGACAGTGACGAATTGAACAAAAAGCGAGGAGGAGCCCCTTGTGTATCATGTCCTCACACTGGGGAGGGGGCAGGTCACAAAGTCCCTGGGCAAGGAGGACCCAGGGAAGGAAGCTCGGGGCTGGTGGGGGTCACTGACCTCCTGACTTGCCTGGCAGGGTGAGGGGCTCCAGCAGGATTTGGGGCCCCGTGGAGTGATGGAGGATGACTTCAGCTCAGGGATAGTGCATACAGTCCGCATCTTCCTGCTGAGCCCCTTCCTAGCCCCTTCCTCTGCAGCCTGTCTGGGGACTTGGAGGTTGGCAGTGGGTTTCTTGGATCCAACTCTTTTCCAAAAGCAGCTCAGAAATGGGACAAAATCCGGGCCCAGAGGGGCCAGGGCACTCGAGAACCAGTGTGTGACCCACAACTTCTGCATTTCCAAGGCCCAGGCCAGATGGAGTCTGGAGGACAGGGCTACTGTCCTTCCCGGGGGGCTGGGGAGTCCACTGAGGCCCAGCGAGGGGGCAGCCTGGCTTGTCCCCCGCAGTTTCTTGGCTGTTCTGCATAGGACAGCCAAAGCAGAGCAAGAAGCAGGAGCATCGGTGAGCCCTGGTCTCCACGGGGGAAGGGCACAGGGCTCTGAGCAGGTCCCGGGTGGGGCAAAGCCCTGGGGGTGCTGCCCTCGGCACTGCATGGGGCATGGAGGTGCCTGGGGTGAGCAGTCCATTCTCCTCGAGTGCCATGCTGTTTGCCCCTCCGCCCAGACGCTGGTGGCTCTAGTCTCAACATCCCCACAGGTTGCTGTGCGAGTAACACAGTTATGAAGACACAGGACAGGGATAAACAGAAAACGTTCTGCAGCAGAGAGGGAGGAGGGAGGACCAGCCACAGTCAGGTGTTTGGTTATTTGGTCATTTCTGGAAGGAATAAAATTCCCGACAGGGATTCCAGGTCCCTTTAAAACCCGTGCTGTTGTACAAGGGAGGAGTGATAAATCAGGAATCAAATTACTCAGTTGACGTTTTGACATTCGCCTTTCTCAGGGGTCTTTTACCGCTCACCTCCTCTTTTTGCTTCCGTTACCATCTCTAGGAAAGCCAGAAGCAAGTGTGACCGGGGATCTGGCCCAAACCTCTGTAGGCTGTGTGCGGGGACTCAGTTTACCTATGAGAGAAAATGGACATGTGAATAGCCCGCGTTATCTTTGCAGCCGAGTGACAGATGGGTTAGCAGCTTTTCGGGCAGGTACAACACGGCTCATTCCTGGCTGCACACTTCCCAGCTGGGTGAGCTTGGGAGAACCGCTTTCCCTCTAAGCTTTGGCTTGTTAGGAAGATCAGATTAAATTATGCATGGATGGTGCACAGTGGAAATATCCACTTGATATGGTTGTTATAAAAATGGAAAGAGATGGTAGATGCAAAGCATCTAGCCCAGAGCTGGGGTGTGGAGCCCTCCACCAGGGTAGCATCTATCTTGTTACCGTCCCTTCTTAGAGAGTTCCATGGAGCGCACTCAGGAGGAGAAGAGAGAGGATGAACACAGCTCAGGAGTTGTGCAAGGAATTCTGAGCCACCCTAGGGCCTGAGGGGCAGGATGACAAATGGACTTCATCTGAACCCAGCACAGCCTCCATTTTTCTCTCCCCTGCCTCTCCAAGTCGGCCAAGGCCGAGGAGCTCGGCTCCTTTGGCACTGAGGGGGATTGCTTGGCCTGCCTCACCTTCCAAGTTTCCTGAGGTGCTGGGTCACCTGGTTTGCCCATCTTCTAGGGTGTCCACAGTTACTTACCAGTTTTCGATTTTGTAGCCAATGGGATAACAGTAACCACTTTACAGAGTAATTATGAGGATTAAGAGAGAGAATGCATGACCAGGAGCTCCTGGAACAGGGCCTGGCTCTTGGGAAGTGCTTAGTGAATGTTATGAATGTTACTTCCCTTCCCTCTGTGAACCCAATAGCCAAAAAACTGGCAACTAGATGTCTGACTAAGCACACCACTAATTAGCTTGAGCGATAAAGGAGACAGAAAAGAAACAAGAGCTGGGTCATTGGACATGACCACATGGATCCATCTCCGGAGGGGTTTCTGGTGGACAATTAGGCTGCATCATATACGTGAGTTGTGATAGGGAAGTGTCTCTACTGGAATGGCTGCTTGGAGGAGTGGAAAGCCCTTAGGTTCTGGAGGCAGATGAGCTTGTATTTGAATCTCAGCTTTACAATGTACCCTCTGTGTGACTTGGGGCAAATCACATACCCTCTTTGTACCTCTTTCGATGTGCCCATGTATGGGAAGGATTGGATGTCATTATGGGTGTAGAATGCTGGTAACACACAGTCAATCCCCAGTAGAAGTTAATTTCCCCCCCTTCCTCTTCTTGGAGGTAGATGGTCAGTTTATTCTGGGTGAGACATCGTTATTTGGCTGTAGATCCAAGTGTTTGGACCACTCCATGCAGAATCACATCTGGTTCCTGGGCTTACTTACTCTTCCTTGTGTCCCAACTCCTAGAATTAAAAAAAAAAAATTGTTGCCATTGATCAATTCCAACTCATAGCAACCCTATAGGACAGAGTAGAACTTGGCTGTAGGGTTTCCAAGGAGGGGCTGGTAGATTCGAACTGCTGATCTTTCGGTTAGCAGCTGAGCTCTTAACCACTGCACCACCAGGGCTCCACCCCTAAAATACTGCTTGTCATATGATAGACTCAAAATATTCAGTGACCTAGGTCCCAAAATAATAGTGTTTGTCTGTGACCTCAGATAGATGTTTCACCACGACTTCCCTGTGAAACGCTCAGGGCACTTTTAAGACATTGCTTTATTCTGGGGAGCATTTCAGAGGCATTATTTGATCTATTTAGATCCCTGGGTGATGCAACCAGTTTGTGATAGGCTGCTAACCAAAGGTTGGCGGTTTGAACCCACCCAGTGGCACTGCAGCAGAAAAGCCTGGCAATCTGCTTCTGTAAAGATTACAGCCAAGAAAACCCTATGGAGCAGTTCTACTTTGTAATACATGAGGTTGCCATGAATCATAATCAACTTGATGTCAATGGTTGGATAATTTGATCTACTTCACAGACAAGGCAGCTGAGGGATAGAAAAAGACAATGACTTGCTGTGATGGTTAATTGTATGTGTCAAATTGGCTAGGCTGTGGTGCCCAGTTGTTTGATTAAACACTAGTTGCTGTTAAGGAGTGATTAAATCAGTTGGCCTCACGTAAAGCAGATTACCTTCTATAATGTGGGTAGGCCTCAATCAGTTGAACATCTTAAGAGCCAAAAGCTTAGCTGATGAGGCTGTGGAAGGTGTAGTCCAAGAGTAGGTTCTGAGGAGAACCTGAGGATGAGCCCAGGGAGTAGAATCCTCACATGAACCAAGAAAGGCTTGGAAGGGCAGAAGCTCTCCCCGTTCTGTACAGGACCAGCAGGTTCTTGAACCGATTGGCTCACAGGCTCGTGGAGAAGACAAGAAGCAAAGAGACATTTCAGGGCCCTGTGAGAGACTCATGGCACAAGAAGGCACGTTCTCTCTGAGGAAAGAATTCAGGGAACAGGGACCATTAATCAAATGTTAGAACTCAGGATCTACCACAAAGGCACAAGGTCAACATAGGCTAGACCTTGATTCACGGTCAGCTGTAGCAGGGGTTGTTGGAGCTCCCCACACCCCACTCTATTCATGGATCTCTGTAGAGAAGGGTTAGCAACACACCACAAACATCGGTTGAACTTTACATGGTTTTGCTGTTGTTAGCTGCGATGGCTTCGATTCTGACCAGGGTGACCCCAAGTGTGCAGAGTAGAATGGCTCCATAGGAGTTTCAAGGCTGTGACCCTTTGGAAGCAGATTGCCAGGCCTGGGTGGGTTCAAACTGCCAACCTTTCAGCTAGTAGTCGAGTGCTGAACTGTTTACACCACCCAGGGCCTCCTATTATATGATCTAGGAGTTGACAAATAATGGCCTGCAACCCAAACCTGGTCTGCTGCCAGTTTTTGTAAAGGCCAAGAGCTAAGAATGATCTTTACATTATTTTATGGTTAAAAAAAAAAAATTATGTGACACATGAAAATTATATGAAATTCAAATTTTAGTGTCCATAAGTAAAGGTTTATTGGGACGTAGCCATATTTGCTCATTTGCATATTATCTGTGGCTGCTTTTCTGCTACAACAGCAGAGTTGAGTCATTGTGACAGAGACAATAGGGGCTGCAAAGCCAAAAATATTTACTCTCTGGACCTTTACAGAAAATTTGCTGACCCCTGGTCTAGTCTAGTATTTTTTTTTAAACTGTGAGTCACAACCCATAAGCCAGCCATGAATCAGTTTAGTGGCTTATGACCAGCACTTAAAAAACAAATAGAAGAATAGATAGAAAATAGTAGAGTGCATCACTTATTATAAGGCTGTTCTTAACTTTTACTTCACTTACATATGCACGTGTGTACTCTTGTCATGATGTGGATGGTTTTTCTAATTATGAGTTTTGGTCAAAAAAGTTGGAAAGCTCCTGGTCTAGGTGAGCCTAGGCCACTTTCTATTGTTGCCCCAGGTATCTGGGGTGACATTTGGAGACCACCCCTCAGCTACCTTTGTGCCTGCAGCCCAAAGACAAGCTAAGGTGGGTGCAGCCCGATTCTCTGCTACATTTCTCTCTCTCGGAGCTCTCTTGTCCACTCTGCCCACAACTCTGCCTACAACCAACCTCAAGTAAGACCCTCTTCTTCTTTCTGCCCAATTTTCTCCTGCTTTAAAATGAAAGTTCCCAATTTCTCAAGGGGAGTGAATGAGGGATGGTCACTCTTAGGCAGAAGGACAGAAGCAAGCAAGATCCAGGAGCAAGGGCACCGAGCTGCCTCCCTGCACCCTTCGAATGACAGCTGATACGGTGGTGACGAGGGACGGACCCCGCAC